AAAGAATACCGATTATCAAAATGCGACAACAAAATTTGTCATTTTCCCGCAACAATTTTTGTTCTATCCATATATATCTTCAATTAATGATGATCATATGAAAAAAACGATACATGAATTTAATAGGGATTACGACAGAGCTTGTTCACATCATATTTCAGATTACTTTATTCTATAGAATTTGGAGTAAGGTTATTTCATTGACAATCTAATTCATGTATAAAAACCCCACAGGCCGCGTGATTTTGTCATTATGACAGCGGAAAAAAGTTTGTCCTGACTTTTTCAGCGACAATAACGGAACCTAACTTTTGAAAGCATGACAATCAGCCATAAACAAATGTTTCATGACTTAAATAGTCTTACCGAATTACATTCTACCTTTTTTTCTAGTCGAATTAAACTTGGCATTTATAATTCGAATTTTGTTGCCTGGCAATTTGACGAAAAAAACTGCCTCTGAAACAATTACGAGTCCGTAGGACATGTCAAGTTTACTTCGTCAAAAAAAAGGTCTCGTGTAATTATAAGTGAATATATATATGCATAGATGAGGATCTCGTGAAATTGTCTAGGTGATCTAAAAAAATTCATGGAATTATTATCCTCGCCATATGGATGTAACGAGAAATTTGACAAAATGAACATAAAGTAAGCCATGAACAAGTGAGGAAAATTAGACAACAAGGATAATAATCACCCAATACAGGCAACCAGGACAGGTGAATTGAATGAGAAAGGCATTGTCAAAACTGTTGGAACAATTCACCGACATACGGAGCAGAATTGAGCAGGAATAGACGATATATAAACTACTCAACACTAATTTCGTCGCACACCAAAATGTCGCCCCTGTTATAATATGAATAACTTTTTTCAGTTTAGAACAATTTGAATTTGGTTCACACTGTTCGATAGCCCAGTCCTTCAGCTATAATCTCGTACTTCATTGAAATATAAGGGTATTCACATAAAATCTCTACATGGTGTTTTCCGACACTGTGCAAAATTTCGGAATATTCAAAAGGCTCTCAAATGGTGAACAAAATTTTTTTCTCAACTTCGACAACAGAGGCATGAAGATGATCTCATTACCTCGAGATATTTCGCGAATCAACTTCCTATCTCTCTTATTTACAGAGTGATCTCAAAAAATCAACTTTTTGGTTTTGCAGCCATAACATTTTTCCACGTCAACCGATTTTGGAAATCTTAGGCTCATTTTGAAGATAAAACTTCAGATGAAGAGATCTGAATATCAGAATTGACTCCAGATGGCAATCAAAGATCTAGAGTTTTCTTGAAAGTGACCCAAATCTGGAACGCCCTGCGAATCTTGGTTGGGAGGAGAATTGAATGAAAATCAACTTGTTCTCGGCAAAACAATTCATTCTGGATGCGTCTATATTTTCCTCGCTCTCAGTACTCAAGAATGTGCGTGAGAAAACACAATTGAAACATGTTCTTGCAAAAACATCAGACCATTTCTCCTCTGTAATGCATGGCCCGTAACCAACGTTACAAGAATCACAGTAAGTGACTGACAAGTCAGGTTAGACGTCGTTTTCGAATCATAAACAGATTTTGATAGTTTCGATGCCGCATCTAACGCCCGACCATTTGAAACTGATTCCACAAATGAGGGAACAAGGGTTATCTTCCCTCCAAATCGCGGATCTGCTAAACACGACAGTCCGATCCATTCAAAGGGCTTATCTCCGACACGAATTGTTTGGTTATTACTGTCGATTCGTTCGGCGCATTATTGCGACTGAAAACTTTACGTAATTGGCAAACTTTCACCATTTTTGAAATGCGTTTTTACAATAAATAAACGTTGTTTGCTTGAATACTTCTCCATATTCTTAAATCGCATGTTATGTACGTGACAACTGTTAAAAAAATCACTTAATTGAAAAAATCAAAATCCGTTGCTCTTGTTGGTACACCATTTATGATGAGCCTCAGCTGGTCGGGTTTGTCAGTCACTCATTGTGATTCTTGTAACGTTGGTTACGGCGGGCCATGCATTACAGAGGAGAAATGATCTAATGTTCTTGCAAGAACATGTTTCAATTGTGTTTTCCCACGCACAATTCTTGACTACTGAGAGCGAGGAAAATATGGACGCATCCAGAATGAATTGTTTTTCCGAGAACAAGTTGATTTTCATTCAATTCTCCTCCCAACCAAGATTCGCAGGGCGTTCCAGATTTGGGTCACTTTCAAGAAAACTCTAGATCTTTGATAGCCATCTTGAGTCAATTCTGATATTCAGATCTCTTCATCTGAAGTTTTATCTTCAAAATGAGCCTATGATTTCCAAAATCGGTTGACGTGGAAAAAAGTTATGGCTGCAAAACCAAAAAGTTGATTTTTTGAGATCACTCTGTAAATAAGAGAGATAGGAAGTTGATTCGCGAAATATCTCGAGGTAACGAGATCATCTTCATGCCTCTGTTGTCGAAGTTGAGAAAACATTTTTGTTCACCATTTGAGAGCCTCTTGAATATTCAGAAATTTCGCACAGTGTCGAAAAACACCATGTAGAGATTTTATGTGAATACCCTCATATTTCAATGAAGTACGAGATTATAGCTGAAGGACTGGGCTATCGAACAGTGTGAACCAAATTCAAATTGTTCTAAACTGAAAAAAGTTATTCACATTATAACAGGGGCGACATTTTAGTGTGCGACGAAATTAGTGTTGAGTAGTTTAGATTAATTCCTGTTCAGAATTTCAACACTAATGCGTTAATATTCCCAATAGATTTAGGTAGGTGAATAGAATGGACAACTTCACGCGGGCACATATAACCATTCAAATTTGCTCGACAAAATTACCAACTTCGCCAACAAAATAGCCGTTTACAGTTTGAATGGATAGTTTTCTGTAATATGGACCCACGTCAAGAGAGCAGGATGGTCATAAATTTAGACCAATCAATAAGTGCAAAATCTGCGCTTGCGAAGTGAGGCATCAGAATGCATATATATATTTTCTCCAGGGACACAATGGTTATTTTTCACTACAGTTTCCAACTACGAAATAACCACAATGCTCAAAGTGTTATTAAATGTTAAATAAATACAGGAAGCTAAAAGTAATTTCCACACAATGTTCATAAAATGAACAACAATGGTGAATTTCGGGAAAGGAACAACTACATTCCTGGCAAATACCAAGCAGAACATTGAATTCCATCCTCCCGAAATCTATGCATCGACTCGTATGAACGAATACTGATACGAGTGATTCTTTCCTGAATGCCTATTGATTTCGAAATTTCGAGATTTCTTCAACATTCTCGAACACACGACATGTGTAACATGTAGCTTCATCAGGTGATATACTGGTACCATGAACTAAACTAACCTTGGCTTGATTAACATTCTTATTATATCCTACTTTTCCAACCTGGAGGATTAGTTACCTGAGGACAGGTTCGATAACCCTTCATTTTTGGAAATTAGGTATAAATCTACATTAAAATACGGTGTATACCGTATTAACTTGAAAGGGTTGATAGCAAATACATTTTATTACCTACTAACAGAACGAATTCAATAGTGGTGAACTATTGTGGTCTAGTTGATCGTTAAGTAAGATGTCAGAACACAAAATCTCATATTTGGCAAATTTTAATATTTTTGCTTTTTTGATTCACCCTGTATTAAAGACATCGATATAACTGGTGAATAAGTTATAGTAGTAGTATGAGGTTATAGTAGTAGTATGAGGTTCATCATTTCGAAAAGGCAAGTAGATCGTTTTTCACACACTTCATCACACTACACTACAAGGTTTACTGATACTCAATGTGATCATTACAATATACCGGTTTTGGGGGAATGGAATGAAGTTTGAGATGAAAATTGTCCTGCATAGAGAATATTTTCTTGAATAAGTCACCATTATCTTCATCTCCAGGAGAAAAGGTATGGATCATTATTAATGTCGTTCGTTCGTTCAGTTAAACATTGTCAAAAGCATTCAAATTTGGTTTTCCAAATCAATAATAATCACCACAACCATACAACTAGACAAGCAGTTCATTTTTCTGTCAAGAAAATTAAATCAGATAGTGGTAAGAAATCCACCTATCACAATGATGATACAATACAATTCACTACCAAATAACTTGAAGCTGATTAATAGAATTGAAAAATTTAAAAGAGAATTCAAGAAACATCTCCTCCTGTAATATTGACATCTTATCTAATTTTTATAGTTTTCTTGTACAACTATACTATAGTTTTCAATTGGGTACATAACAGCTGAGTCAATTGAGAATCATTTTCAGTTGAACTGAAAAAAAAAAAGATTCTTTTTGAGTGTGAGTCTTATTTTACTGTCTTCTTGATTTCTTTTTGTCAAATATATTTATGTATTCACTACGTTCCCTGCTATAAAACAAATGTTGTTTCTTGGGAATAATGAAGTTGATTGATTGATTGATTGATTGATTAATTTTTGGTTGATCAAGAGAGATCTTCCTGTGGAAGTTGCAGCGAAGAAACTTCGTATCTGAGTATATGATGTGTTCCTACATTGAATGACTACTCCACCGGTTATATCCCCCTTAGATTCTGATACAGGGTGAATCAAAAAATGAAAAATATCTAAACTTGCCACTGAAAAACTAACACCTCAAGATTTTGCGTTAAAATCTCGTATGAGGTTGTTCCGGCTAGTCATAGTTTTCTTGAAAAATTGCCTAACAGTTGTTTTTGAAATTTTGACCCCATCAACAAGCAAAAGTAGGCCTTGAAGATATGAATATTTCAAATTTGTTCATGTTCTCGAATATAGCCAGTTGACAGGTATATTATGGGATTTTTGTTTTTTTAAATCAGTCGACGGGTTACAAATTAGAAGGGTGTTGCGGGTTGGAATCGTACCCACTGTATGTGCTTACTACTGTTGAGGCTTTGAATCTCAGGCCGAACAGGATGATTCACCTTTCATAATTCCCATGCGAAAACATGGTATCTCACCTTAGCTCTCCACATGAACCAGAATTTGAACACATCGCACTTCCTTCCACACTGCAAGTACTTGTCCCCAAGATCGTACTCCCTATCGTAATGCTTGTCCTTTTGGAAGAGGTACTCTGCACCCTTCGAGTGACACTCGTAAAGAATGCGAGGGTCTTTGACCAGCAGAATGGAACACTGCTGAGGCACCGCCAAGAGTTTGTGAGGGTTGATCACTATGGAGTCTGCCCTCTCTATGCCGTTGAGTTTGGCTCTGTGCTTCTGGGAGAAGATCAAACCGCCACCCCAAGCTGCGTCTATATGGAGCCACAAGCCATGAGATTTGCAGATGTCTGCTATTTCGTTGATCGGGTCGAATGCTCCACGAACAGTTGTTCCTAGCAAAAAGTGAATATCGATACTACAATTTTCAATGACCTTGAGGAATGTCATTGTTCTCCTTCTAATACTACTGCTTCTACTACACTACACTACAATTATTATAAAGAAGGAGATATTACTCCTTATAGTGAAGCGAAGTATCTGGTAATAACAGTATTTACAGAAAGCTGTGGCAAATACCGATGAATTTTTTTCTTTCTTGGATATGAAATGAGGAGAAGGATCATTAGCCTTCCTTGCGATGTGAATATAGCAAGGATTTATCGGCAATATTCCATCGAACAACTCAAATTCTAATATAATACATATTCATTACTTATCTTGAGGAACAATCAGAATTTATTTATTCATACATTTAGTTATTCATTTATTTATTCATTTATTTATTCATTTATCTATTCATTCATCTATTCATTTATACATTCATTCATTTATTCATTCATTTATTCATTCATTTATTCATTTATTTATTCATTCATTTATTCATTTATTCATTTATTTATTCATTTATTCATTCATTTATTTATTCATTTATTTATTCATTCATTTATTCATTTATTTATTCATTTATTTATTCATTTATTTATTCATTTATTTATTCATTCATTTATTCATTCATTCATTCATTCATTCATTCATTCATTCATTCATTCATTCATTCATTCATTCATTCATTCATTCATTCATTTATTCATTAATTCATCTTAGGCTTTGTTTATGAGTCTGAATATTTTGAAATCATCTGCATACAGCATGCTATCAGAAGTTGCAGGGAGTGATAGGTCCTTTATGAATATAAGGAAAAGGAGAAGACCAAGATTTGAACCCTGAGGTACCCCAAATTTTTCTAAGGAAGTTGTTGACTTGTGTTCGTGGAAATTAAATTATTGAATTCTGTTATGAAGATACTACCTTAGCACGTGAGCCAATTGTTCACTCAGACCATGCAAAAGATATAAGTTTTGATAACCCACCATATATACTTTATTGAGGAAGATTGGTAATTTTGATTTCTCTGAACATCTGGTGAATTGGTTTAGAAGTTTTTTGACGGGTCGTGCACCACGAGTCAAAATCGGGAAATACAGATCAAGAAATATTTTAGTGACATCTAGGGTTCCTCAATGATCGCACTGTTCACCACTCCTAATTCAATATTTTTGTGAATGATATTGGTAGCTGTTCCATAAACTGTGATTCACTTATGTTTGCTGATGACTTGAAGTTGTTTAGACCTATCAAGTCTATGAGTGACCAAGCTCTCCTTCAAGCAGATCTAAATAGAATGTATGAATGGTGTGTTGTTAACAATTTGTATCTCAATGTCAATAAATGCTATTTTATCTCGTTCTCGAAAGTCGGAAGAGAATTTGATACTTCTTACAACATTAATAATCAACAAGTAGAATACACATCCTCTATAAATGATTTAGGAGTAGTTTTCGATGAGCAGCTTAGATTTGTCGAGCACATAAACAAAGTTAGTGTGAAGTCATCTAAATTACTAGGTTTTATTACGCGCGATTGGTCAGATTTATCAATAAAAGCATTAATAAGGGTTTTCTTATCACTTGTGTTATCTCAGTTGGAGTATGCATATTATTTGGTCTCTTAGTATCAGATTCACTCTACTTCCTAAGAAAGATTTCACAATGAATTGTTGAGATTCTGTGCATATAGATTAGGTTTTCATATACAAAACCACGACTATTATCAGATATTTTACGTGAACTGAACCTCAAATCGTTGGAAACAAGAAGAACTTACGCAGATCTTTGTTTCGTTATTCAAACTCCTCAATGAGTGGAATCTTAGACATACATTGTTATTCCACTTACCATTCCATTTTACAAATTATTGCAAGCATGCGCCCTTGGAATGAACTCTGAAGTTATTGAACGACATGCACATCAATATATTTGGATTGCCTTGTAAGTAGAAGTGAGTGGCATTTGACTAGTCATCGAATTTGTTCTTGTTAGTTTCATATGGTTTCTAGTCTTATCTATACCATATATTCATGTGTAAACTAGTTAAATAGCCACTGTTGGGTAGGCATATGTTCCATATACTTACTTATGTATCTGGCACATTCAAATCTGTTATTTATATATATATATATTTTCAAATTCATACTGTCATGGGGTTTACCCCGTGAAAAAATAAATGAATAACCCGCACTGTTGTTATTCTAGTATCCATTTTCATCGGAAGATCTTTCAAACCAAACTGTGAGATCCTGAAGATAAGAATATTATTGCTATCAAATTTTTTTTTTTTTTAGAAAAAATACCTCATCTATTTGAACATTGCAACTTGTTGTATTGGGACAAGAAGTATTTCCAAAATCAAAAGGAATTTCGGAGTACTATTTTTGATATGGTTGGGACAGGAAATTTTGGTAGCAATAACTTCATAAATTTCTTGAGTGGAATCCAGAATACTTATTGAGTGGATTCTGGAAATATTCACAATCCGTATGTCTCATATTGTTATGGAGTCACTGAATTTATGGATTACAGAATTCTGTAGGTAATTACTGTTCACAGCTTGATTTGAAAACTTTTCTGAACAACATGGTTGCACAGTGTAATACAAATAAATTCATCTATAGGAACATAAAATGTGGAGTGTAGTGGTAGCAATAATAGCAGAACAATTATTCTCAAAATACATTCTCACATGATCGTTTTCAACTTTTGGTGTGGATTTTGCTAAATGATTCTGATAAAAATTTAAGAAGATAGTCATAGGCCATTTGATGGATTAGTGATTTTTTTTTTTCATGAAATGTACCACAATCTCACCTTCTATTTCTTATATCATTTTCATAAAACCTACTCAGTATACACACATACCCTACGAATCAGAACGATCTTCAGATGTAGGTCGTTGGAAAAAATCGATAAGTAATACTCCCAATGTTATAATTCCTTATCTTCTATCACCTTACATATATTATATGACATAAAACAATTACCTAATGTAGCTACCACCATAATGGGAACTGATCCTTCATCCATCTGTTTTTCGATATTATGTTTCAAGTCGGAGGGGATTATCCTTCCGATTGAGTCGGTGCGAATTTTGCATACATTCTCTTCTCCCAATCCTATGAATGCAGCGAATTTATGTACGGAATAGTGACATTCCTCTGAAGTTAGTATGACCAATTTAGGCAAGTGATGCGTTCCCTTACGCTGAAATGGAGAAGATACAAAATATTCAATTTCTTCTTTAGCGACATATTCACTGTATGATCGGGATGAATCACGAACATGTTGGTCTCCATTTGCATTTACATGCGCATAATGTGCTTTTGATATACTCATAGTAGAAGAGCCGTTCTTTGACCAATTACTGCCGTTATACCTGAACCATTGTAAGGCGTTATGGGAGGCTAAAATTCGAAATCTCTGGTACTGATACGCTTCAACAGGAAGATCAAATTACTAAGGTGGACGGACGTACTGACCGTCATCAGAAATCCACGGAGGTTCGAAAAGGAGAATGAGAAGAAGGAATAGTTGATATTATGTGCACATGACGTATGCAGCAGGGGTCGGCAAAAAAGGCTCACTGGGGACCTGCTAGGCGTCCGCCTCCCCTTTCTCTAGTACTACTAGTATGTACCTATACCTATGAAAAATTAATTGACATAATTATAATTTGAAAATTATTTCGAGTCGAAGACGATTTTTATTATCATAGAGCTAGCAACCCTAGGGATCACGATGATAAGAACCTCACCTTGACCACGGGATAGAAACATAATTGGAAGTAGTAACAACATATGAATACATAGGAAGTATTATCATAAGATATTAGGAAAAAGAGAATTGACGCAAGAAACTAAACTAGGAGTATATAATACCATTGCTATACCAACCATCATACTATACGCTAGTGAGAATTGGACTATACAAAAGGAATACGAGAGTGAATTAAATGCAATGGAGATAAGATACCCGAAAAAGATAGATGGAAAAACAAAGCTGGACAGAATAACCAACAAAATAACGAAGAGACAATTGAATTGGTATGGACACATAATGAGGATGGAACCAGATAGAATAACGAAGGAGATATACGAAGCACGAAAAAATGGATAAATAACAGAGGCAGGAGGGAAAAGAGAGGAGTCGTTGAGAGAGATGAAGATACTGACAGAAAGTAAGAAATCAGGGAAACAATGGGTAAACGACACAACAGAAAATTAGCGCAATTCCGACGCCCATGAGGGTAAATGAAGAGGAGAAAGAAAGAAAGTATTGGTAGAGCAAGTCTGATAGATTCAATTAAACAAAAATGATCGCTGGCATACAGGAGAATCCGTGAGAATCGTCGATTCTGATTGGTTCTCGAGGATAATAGTGGAATAGAAAAAGTGCACTTTCGGCGATCATTTTCATAGGTGCTGCGATTTTTATTCCCATAAAGATAGCAACCCTAGGGCACAGAATACCCAACAATCAGAGTAGCATCTCTCGTGCAGGAGTGGGTTCGCGCATTTGAACGGCGCAGGTTGTCGGCCATCTTCCTGGGTTACATTGTTTACGCATTTTTATCGAATTCTGAGGTGTGGAATGATCGGGTGGAATATTCAGATATCTAAGTACATATTCTAATTTTGCTGTGTTGTGTTGTTGTTTGGGATGTCCTGTTCTAATAAGTTTTGGTGCCTACCTTATTTGGTTGTGAATAAGAAGCGAATTATAGATTCTTTATCTGCTTCATCTGTGATTGTAGACATGAGTGCTCAAGAAAAACTTAGAGATGGACATGTATGCGGTGCTATAGATTGCAATAACAATTCTAAGACTTGGTTCTATTCCTCATCTGATCAGAATCAGTTGAATGGATTACCCTGTTCACCTATCGACCAAGCAGAACTGCAATTGAAAAAAAAAAGAGTTCATTTTTCAAAAAAAAAAACAGAAACAATTGAAAAAATAATCTTGGTCAAAACCTGGTCAAATCGATCAATTTGGATTTTCAGCAATGTTTGTGTTCAAACCTGTCCTACTGAAGATAGAAGCTAGCTTTTGTAAACTATTTTTCGTTGAATTAAAAGTGTGTGTGTAATTTTGTGAGAATTAAATACATTTTACAGGTATCCATAAATGACACACAAAGTGAAGGAATTCAGTACAATGCTGTCATTTTTCTTAGAACGGCCCTGCTTGCTGACCCAAGAACATGGCTGACCACAAAAAACAGCAAAGAGATTCTATTTCACGAATCGAGTCGAATAGGTCATCTTTATTCGATATTTGGTATTCTGTTTCTCGAATGAATCGTGTAAACTCGACTCGATTCCTCGTTAGCTCAAGAGGAGTCGAATCGATGCGTTTCGTCAATCTATCCTTATCTATCATCGAATGTTTCTTTTCATCTTCATCCCAATTTGAGGTTAGATAATCTTGTTTATGTGAAAGCACAGCTTTGAAAGTGTGTAAACAACTCATTTTATCACTTCATGAATATAATGTATAATTAGTTTTCGATGTCGTTCAAATTCAGAGATGGCTGGGAAATGTTAATAACATTTTTAGAACAGCACAGAATATGGCCACGGCCACAGGATGATTTTCAGAGTCTGATGATCGTGAAACCAATAAAAAATATTAATAAAGCTAAGCCAAGTAAATTCATTGGGGTTTGACGAGTGAACTCCTGAGAAATGGCGTAAGGAAGCATCAAACCTCAGTGCACAGAATATTTGAGATTCGGTATACCGATTCCTGATCTATTCCCTTCATACTTTAACATATCCACTGCTAAGTAGGATCTCAATGATTGTATCAGAAGACGAACCAACCTTTCTTAAATCTTCTTTTAAATACCTAGCTCAATAAATCATTCTTCAGGTAATGAAAAAGGATTAGGTGGAATACCATATCGGCTCGAACAATTAGAAAAATTCTTATTTTTGTCTGGATTGCCAAAATTGGAAACCATGAAAACAATATAACCACCATAACCTCAAATTTGTGATGGCTTTGGGGCTATGGCCTTGGTGCTCGTTTCATTGAATCAAAATCTCATTCCATTTCGCCTAAAAACCGACGATTTCCGAAGTCGAATTCGATCGCGACTTGATCGAGAAATAGAATAAGAAGTGAATTCGACTTCGAGTTCATCATCGTATCGTACGACAATCGACGATCGTGAAACAGAATCCCCCTGCAGATCCTAAAATATCAATGCGCCGACCAGAGAAGCACTTCTGATTGTTGGGTATTCTGTGCCTAGTGATCACTGTCACAGATTGAGGTTTGTTAATCTGTGTCACTGTGATGAGGACCTCACCTTGACCTCGGGATAGCGGCGGTACCGCGCCAGGTTGGCCGACACCCCATTGGCAAAGGAGCCTCCCGGGCAGAACAGACCGTCCCCCCAGCCGGGCCCCACCATGCGCCCCAATTCGCTCATCACGTGCCTCTCCATCAGGCTGAAAACGGGGGCCACTTCGTACGTGTATACGCTGGCGTTGAGCGAGTCGGTCAGCCACTGGCCGGCCAGGCCGTAGGGGTCCAGACTGCAAAGGGAAATACATTTTTCAGATTTGGTTGGTTAAATAATTATTATAGAAGTCAAGTCATAATTTTTATCGGTTACTCAACCGAAAAGATACATATAATGATGAAGATGGAAAGCCCTAATTTCCAGTGACAATGGAAAATGAAAAAACTCCACCGCCCCGTGTGAGAGTCGAACTCACAACCTCTGGGTTCCCAGCAAACATTGAACTAGCGGGAGAAGTCCAGCCTAGTGCAGGCTAGTCTGGGAAAGTGACGATGCCAAGGTATTAGTAATGGGCCAATGATTTTCCTACGCCAAGTAACCATCAGTTAAAAATACGGTGATGGCCTTGTGATGGTAAGATGTCTGGAACTAATTGAATGCTCACGAGATCTGGCCCTTTGCTGGCCAATTTCATGTTCGCTACTCGTCCCCCTGGTGGAAGTTCTGGGAACGTCAACATCAACAATCAGCTGATCAATATTAAATGTGACTAAGATGGCTGACTCTCGCGAGTGGTGATCGCGTACTAGTTTGTTTATTTCGATGAATTATTATGCTCCTCTCTTTCCCTGGTGGTTATTTATGATGGCGAGAGTATTCTCAATTGATAACGATAGAAGACAGATTCTCCAATTATGAAAGTATTGAGTAAGTATCAATCTACCTACATAGTGTTTCGAATTGAATTATTGAATGCATGTGTTTGGTATCTCGTTACCTCATATAACTAATGATCATAATAATTGGAGTGGACTGTACTTCTCCAAAAGCAACTATCATTTTTAACTCGTCTGTTGCTATAAAAAGCAATCTCAGGTCATGTGAACCATATATAAACAAATGATGCATTTTATATTTCAGAAGTACCTCAGAACGAAAAATCGACTTTGAAGGAATGCTACCCAATAAGATGTGGATACCACATACCAACCAGTGAGCAGTCACTCCGAGAAGTTTCATCGTTGAAGAACAGAGAGGTTAAGAAGATATTATTGTGTCATTCATAAAATTGTTTTCTCGAAATCTGGTATGATGGGAGGGTTATATTGTGAAATAAAAAGGTACTAGAACTTTCAGATTCATTGGACCCCTAAAACCCCTACCCCTTCCCTACCTCGATAGTATGTAACCAATGTCGTTAATTGGCCATTACAGTCCCATCATTTATGTATATGCTGGGCTTGCTATGGGAAACTCAATGTGTTGATTATGTTGAATTGGCCTTTTGCCGGGGAACTGAATATGTTTGCTGGGAACCCAGCACTGGGACCAGCTGCCGGCCGCAGTGTACTGATATATAGAGTCCCGCATATGGGACCATTTACTGGGCCGCTGATGTCAGGAATGGGAAAAATATATTAGGCCATTGATGCCCCATATCAAAATGTTTGCTGGGTTACATGCCCAACGCTCTGCCAATTGAGCTAACGGGTCATCCGTCGATCAATCGGCAGGGAGGTCGAGTTCTCATCACACACCAGGCGGTAGAATCCTTCCAATTCCTGAAGTCACTCGAAATCATGCACTATACGGAGCATCTCCCCGTTCGTCCTCTGGCAGATTGTCTTTCCTTGTATACGGAAATGTCGGAAGGCAATCATACGTAGAAGTCAAGTCATAATTTTTGTCGGTTACTCAACAGAAAAAATACATACAGGGTGGGCCACCAGTAACGGCTAGAAGGCTAACCACTCATCTTCTTGGAATTCTTCCTCTCTAGGAAGATGCATGTCAACATAGGCTACCATTTTAAATTATTTCTAAAGATACAGGGTGTCCCCAAAAAACCATAAAACACTGAAGTTAAACTTTTTTCTATCGAACATCCTATATATTATTGCATCCTGAGATTCTCCCTGATGAGCTGATTTCAACGACCCATCATACTTGGGGTCTAGCAGTTATAATTACTGAGATATAGGGTGTGAGAAATCGAGATTTTCCAAGTTCAAGAATTTTTTGTGTCGAAACTATTCATAATTGGTCAAAACGGCTCACATGTCCCTATCTCAACTTTTGATTAACTATCTACTGATATTTAATTGGGACATATACCGGGTGATCAAGATTCTGAATTCTGCACCACCCTGTATTTGTTTCAATTAAATGTCAGTAGATAGTTGATCAAAAGTTGAGATAGGGACATGTGAGCCGTTTTGACCAATTATGAATAGTTTCGACACAAAAAATTCTTGAACTTGGAAAATCTGATCACTCCGGCAATAATTTGAGCCCTTCATGCTCATGGGGAGGACAAACCAATGCTGTATGCAGAAAATCAACCAATGCTTTTACCTATTGACAGTCCTAAAATCCATGTTAGATAGAGATACTCTGTTGAATGTGTATTACTCATATGCATACTCTGCAATTGCGTACAGTATCATTGTCTGGGAACAAGGACGTGAAGTTCAAAGATTGTTCGTATTGCAAAAAAGGATAGTTCGTTTTATATTTGATTTACCTTTTCAAACTTCGTGTCGCAACATATTTAGAGACAAGAAAATTCTAACGGTGACTTCTATTTATCTATTGAAATTACTGAGCAATACTTATCGAATCCAACATAAATTAACAAAAAATAGAGATATACATAAGCATGACACGAGAAATAAAAATGACTTTTTGCTGGGGTTTCTTACTTCAATAGGCTTCCCAGTCACTTAAAAAACAGTCCTACATACGAAGTTTTCAAAGGTAGGTTGAAACACTTTTTAGTAAATAATTGTTTTTGTGATCTGGGGGAGTTTGACGTTTTTCTCTCCAATAATTGAAATGTTTTATACTAATTCATTTCGTCCAATATCAGTGTATTTGTTTCTGTTTTCAATTCTTGGACAGTTACAGTTGTTATATCAGTTCTATGTTCTATGTTCTATGCTTTTTATTCTATACATGTACCGACTCGTCCCATCTATTGTACTATAGGGAAAAAGGATTCAATAAATTTGAATTTGAATCTCGATTTCTCACACCCTATATCTCAGTAATATAACTGCTAGATCCCAAGTATGATGGATTGTTGAAATCAGCTCACCAGGGAGAATCTCAAAATGAAATAAAATATAGGGTGTTCGATTGAAAAAAGTTCAACTTCAGTGTTTTGTGATTTTTGGGGACATCCTGTATGTTTCAAAATAATTTCAAATGGTAGCCTATGTTGACATGCAACTTCCTAGAGAGGAAGAATTCCAAGAAGATAAGTGGTTAGCCTTCTAGAGACCGAGGCGTTACTGATGGCCCACCCTGTATAATCACTAATCATCTACTACATAGCAATTTCGAATCATGACATTCATTGTTGCATATAAGAACAATTCAAGGATTTTATAGAAACTTGGCAACAGTGGCGTGCTTCTAACCCGTTGAAGTTCAATCAAACAAATTTCAAGAAGACACTGAAATCACAGCTCAGTAGCGTTTGCATTCATAGGTATTCAAATTGCAAGGCATATTTACTTGATTCAAACTTCAAATTCGCTCTGATTCAAGATATAGATCTACTCATTCCAAGATTATAATTTGCTTGATTCAACAATTCCCTTTTTCCCGTGGTACCATGAAAGAATTTTGAACTATTCAAGAGAATATGGAAATAAAATTGGTCTCAAACGCCCTCTTCCGTCTCTATGGTTTATTTTCGTATATTTTGGTATCTTGTTTATCCTGTAGAATTCACAGTACGTTGTTCTAGGACACCTTGTATGATCATTTAAAACATTTTCTTTCAATTTTCGGTGCACGTTGAATCAGTAAGCCATTGACTGGCAAGACTTGAGGACAAGAATTATTGTTAATCGATATTGATTGAAGAAAAATATTTGCGGAGATCGAGTTACAGGAAAACGTGATTGAAAACGGAGAAAGAAAGAGTGGACGTTGAAGCTATATTGATGGAAAAGCTGCAGATCTTGACGGCTAATCGAGAGGTAAAATTTGTCCACGGCTGGGCAAGAGTTTTGAAACAGCTGCGACTTTCTAGTAACGTAAAATATTGGGGCACATCCCTTACTCGTGTCTGTGTTGGAATCTACTTCTTATCAGGGACGTAGCGAGCCAAAACAGGGCCTTGTGGCAAGTCAACAGCAAGCCCCCTACGAAAGAATTTGAATAAAAATAACTATTTCATAGCATAAAAAAATTCATGGTGATTACTATACGTGGTGAAACACATATAAATGACGGTGGCATGTGAAACCGCAATAGCTGATGTAACGCAAATAAAAATACTAATCCAATATTAATGCAGAAAAAGATTCCATAGCTCTCTTGCCTCTTGATTAGCAAACAACGAAATTATTTCATTTTATCTGAAATCCTAGTTGTCTCATTTTGTATCGACAAAATTTCCAAATTTCTCAAATAGTTTTCAATAAATTTAGAAATCGAGAATGATCTCTTCGAACTTGCTACGCAGAGACGAGTAGTGTTAGAAAAAGAATGAAAGCACATCAGTATATTTTTCCGAATGAACTAGAGATCTTTTTTCTTTATCGCAAATTATTAATTTCGCCAAGTAATCAATTGAATTGGTTGACTTGTCATTGATCTGATCTTCATGAATGCGCCTGATGGCAAAATTTCTTTTGTTTGCGAATCCGATCAATCATCGGAATGAAATCTAATCAATTTCTCAGAAAGGTGTATCAAATCATCTTCACAGCTCTCAAGACCGAAGGAAAAAGTACTTCAAATCTTTGAACTACGCTATTAAACACATGACACAAAAAAGTTCTCTTTGACATTGGATAGTCGCTCGTCACACGACAACTCATCGGAATGTTTTTTCAATTTATGAATTATTCTTTGATTCTTAAAGATTGGACGAATTCCCCAAACATGCTCGAGGTAAAATACCACTGATGTCTGCAATATCTTTTGAAGCAGTCATTAGAAGCTTTGACGCTCTCAAAATGTCTTGGTCTTTACTCTGTAGTGTATCAGGAAAATTCTTTGAGATGCTTCGTGAGCTCAACGGTGCCCTTCAACAATAACCATGCCAGTGTTGCCCTTTCAGAATTGAAATTTGTACTAAAAATCATTCCGCAATTGTACTAAATTTGATTCTCACCAATGACGAGATGTTGAAAATGCAATATACGCCTATGCCTGTGCTTGAACAATGAATGGAATTCTTCCATCATTTTTCATAACGAACCCCAAATAATAAATGCATATTTCTCCATGATGAGCGTTTTCTTCACTCTGGGTTGGAATCCCAATCTTAGAAAAGGAAACCAATACAAATATTGTTGTGTTAGTATACCTATTTTAGGGCTCATACAATCCGCCATAACCTCAAATTTGCAGCTTCGTTCATACTCTTCCTTGGCTCAAAAAACGGAAAAGCACTGATAGCAATCGGCACAATCGGCAGTTTTTGCCCCATCTATCATTCTTTGCCGATGCCGAACCAAGTTACTCATTGAAGAAGTCGAAATTTACTGATTTCTGACAATATATTTCACTTTCATGCCCTGAGTAACTAGGAAGGTATGGATTAGATTACATTTTCTATTAAAACCATCAACTTTATAGGCGAAGTGCATAGTTGGAAACTACTAATGAAATACTTCATACATAACTTGTGCACATGGTTAGTATTAATTGGGTAATATTCAACTTCAATTAAACCAGAAGAATGTCTCCAATACTTGCATGTGTTCGAGAGAATATCGAGAGGGGCTATCACAGCCAGCAAATCACTATATGCACTGACAGCCAGGTGGCGATCAAGGCGCTCACCTCGTATAGGGTGACCTCCGCCTTGGTGTCAGAGTGCATAGATAGCCTACAAAGGCTGTCAGCAACAAACAAAGTATGTCTTTTGTGGGTCCCTGGACACTCAGGGGTACCAGGTAACGAAATTGCCGATGGTCTGGCCAGAAAGGGGGCCAAGGGTTCAGTGATTGGCACAGAGCCAATCTTAGGGGTCACTCGATCCTGGAGCAACCTCAGGATGAAGGAAATCCTGACGGAAAGGTTTCAGGACAGCTGGAGAGAGGCTCCTGGAATGAGGCAGTCCAAACTCCATATAGGAAACCCATCACGAAGACAGACCAATGCCCTCTTGGCTTTGAACAGGAAGGAGCTGAAACTGATGGTGGGCCTTCTGACAGGTCAGTGCCACTTGAACAAATATCTCATCACGATCGGGATTGTGGAGGATCCTAAATGCAGATGGTGCCTGGAGGATGAAGAGACTTCTATGCACATCCTCACTGAATGCCCGGAAGTAGTGGCAGCAAGGGATATCCATTTTGGGAGCAGTATCCTGGACCCAGAGGATGTTAAAAAGATTTGGTCTAGAAAGTTGGTCTCTTTTGCTCGCGAGATCGGCCTTCTCCATGGCTGACTTGCGTTCCCAGGAATGTGGGTGCACAATGGGCCCGAAAAGGGAGGCCTAAGTGCGTCAGGTCCCGGACCGCCTACTCACATACATACATACATATACATACACATGTCTCCAAGGCCCTTGAACTTTCAGGATATTCTGTGGAGTTGGAATTTACCAGATTCTAACTTCATAAACGTTTATGTCAGGCAATAGTCAGATAGAGTAAATGAGTCGAATTTATACTCTTTTCAACCTATTTTGATGCCAGTTAAGAGAAAGGACTTTTTTAGACTATTTTTAACCTAATAAGCATCAACTTGTACAATTGTACCAGTATTGCACCTGATGTGTGATCAAGAATTTTGTGGAAATCTCTTCGGTTTTGAAGTTTTTATATTCGCCATAGATTTCCGTCAAGTACCGGCCGAGTGAATTCAAAAATTAAAATATTTCTAGATGAGAAAATCTTTCGTTAACTAATATAATTTGGATTAGTGATATCGAATCAATGAATAAATTTGAATATAATAATAATAATAATAATAATCGTCTTTATTGTTTCTCACTTATTGGACATTACCAAAAGTTTTGCGGCATGAATTAAAGTGGCCCACAGCGGCTAATAATGTTATTCCATAATAACCTCGTCACCTTATAATTTCATTTTGAACAGTCGCAAAAGCTGATAACGGAGTTTGATGATGTTCAATTCGGTCAATTTGTGTATATATTCGATATAATCTCGTACATATAATGATAACAGTAGAACAGTAGTTATTTGACCAAATATTTTATTATAGAAGAGGGCGATGAGGATGATCATTATTCGCCATATTAATGTACGAGTTGCATACAAAATGTTTCCATGGACTATATATTATGTTACCTGCAATGAAGAAAATCTTTCAGGAAACAACTAACAATCACCCAGTAGCCTTGAAAGTCAAATCATCATCGAAATTTGACGCTGAGACCTATCCCTATATATAAATCATTCCACTTTGATTATTTTGGTTACTTCGTATTTTACAAAATCCCCTAGAATCTCTTTACTTGAGATTCCACAAGGAAAAGATGAATTTGTTGCATCAACGAGTTATTCTCGTTGGACTGAGCAATTTTTGATGAATCAAACAGATACATGATTACTTCATAGGAGCACTTGTTCGAACTGAGATTGTAGTATAATTGAATCAATAGTATGATATCAAACAAACAATTTATCACGATCCAAAATAATATCGATGTCCATTCAACTATAGGATATATTTTGTTGATTTGTTTTCTTATCCCGATGTAGCAATGAACTCGTTTCGAACGAATCATTTTTCGAATATGGCAACGAATTATGTAAAATCAAAAAAATATTTCGTTCATTCAACATCAGCTTGAAATTTCACTACTAGATGGCGATCTTTTCGCCTCGTCTATGCGTGCCTAAAATATATTCTATATATATGAAGCGTGTTTCTTCGTGTTTTGAATTTCAGCTGGATTAATCGAACTTTGGAAGCTTATATAAGCCGAAATATCGTTGCATCAGCTGAAGAGGAAAGAGAAGTGATAACTGGAGATCTGTGCTTGAGGTCGATTAGTTTCCTGGTTCGTTGACGTGAGATTTAAGACAATTTCCGAATTGATACTGAATTGAAACAAAATTATTGTCTGAGCAATCAATTCGATATCTTTTCATAAACAATTCTCTTGATTTAATAAGATCCAGAGATCATGCACGACATATTCATCCGATTCGAACTTGAAATTCGCTCTGAAACAAGATATAGATTTACTCATTTCAAGATTATGTTTTGTCGTTCATATAAAAAAACACTTATATTTGCTTCATTCAATGAAATTTGGCTTGATTAAACTTTTTTTCCTTGTAGGTTTCTCGAATACTTTATTATTTGAATTTGAAATTCCCATGGTATGACATATTATTACTCGATCGTACTGTCATTATTACCCGATTCACCTCGACAATGACTGTTATTAACTCTTCGAAGTCTATTATAGTAAGCAATGTTAGGATGACTCGATAGTTGAACCGATCGGCATTTCTCCAATATTTGTAAGAAGGAAATTGAAACCAATATTCTGAATTGCCATACACAAGACACTACTGTGATTAACAAATGTAAGACGTTTTATGCTTTGTATTCAGCATCAAAAGAGGGGGGAGTACTCACCCAGAGAACAACTGATTTATGAAATAAGGATGCCCAGTTTTTACGCTGAACTTGATGGTGTCTTTCAGCAGAATCATAAGTTTTTCATGCGACTCCCCATTCTGCTTCAAAGCAAAATCAAACTGATTTTCCAACTCTTGGGGAGTCTGCCAGAGCAACACCTTGTCTTGTCTAGTAGTGAAAACTATATTCTTGAACATCATATCCACCACTTTCTGCAGGAATTCCCCATGTTTGCCAACTTCCGGTACTGGACAAAAATCACTCATGTTTAGATATGGTAACAACGTTTCTGTACTGAATTGAGATGGAGTGGTTAGTTTTTATAATGCAATCAACAGGGAATTAGAGTATAATTATGAACATCCTCATTGAATTCCTCAATCTGACTGAAACAGAAATCTCATAATTCAATCAGGTCGAAGCATAACAAATCAAAACTAATTATTTGATTACTTCCTTATTGCTACTTTGAAATATCACCTCCAATAAAATCATTGGATATACGGTTCATTTGTATCTCCTCCTTTTTCAAATCAAAATTGTCATCAACCGAAAATATCTTGGAATATCTACCTATCTATCTATGCTCTATGAGGCACATGCTGTTTCCATATTTGGAGTGCAGCACCCAAACATACCCTGAAACTATTCGATTCTGTCTTAAAAAAGGACAATTCGTCTCGTGGGTGATGCCTCGCTCACAAACTCACTCACATCTCTGGAGCACCGTAGAAAAGTTGGCGATCTGGCTCTATTTTATAAATATTTTCATGGACATGGATGCCCTTCTGAAATTTTAACAATTGTTCCTCCCTTGGCAGTTCCCACAAGATTAACCCGTCGAGTTGAGGCTTCGCATCCTTTCGTGGTCACTTTGAAGACCTGCAGAACATCTTTTTCCAAAGACTCGTTCATTCAACGAACAGCGAGGCTCTGGAACACATTGCCAAGAGAGGTGTTCCCCGATGCATATAACCTCCAGAAATTCAAGACAAACACCAATTCCTACCTTATTTCTCTTGGTTCTCACGATGTTTTCTGAACATTACAGGATATCCCTTTCCGTGGGAACCAGAACATAAAAAAAATGACTGCAGTGTCTACTAAATATATCGTAGGAAGCAAGAACCACTGAATCTTTTGGAATTTAAAAATATTGCAGCTGGTAGCAACCTCCTTGAGTGAAATGCAACGGCGTACTGCCGAATATCAGACCATACAAACCACATTAATATGCAAAGTGACGTGCGCTTCCAAAGGAGTTTCATTTTCAACCTTCGATATATATGCAGTGGGAGCAGAATTTCAAGAGCTAAACATTTCACCAGCTATTAAGATATTGAGTTTTATGAAACTGAGTGAATAAAAGAGGGAATATTCCATATTAATAATAATAATAATAATAATAATAATAATAATAATAGGACTTTATGAGGCGAAAGTTTAGCTACAAAGAGCTATTCTTACACTTTAACCTAGGTACATATATGTATAAATAGTAGGTATTACAAGGTATTTTCCAAGAAAACAAACTAAATCATATTTCTATTCTTAGATATAACTCTTCACTTTTTTACTTTCTGAATTGTGGAAATATTAGATAAATGTAGAAGTAATCTGGGCAGCTAGGTAGACTGTGTTCTTTGTTCATCAAGGATTTTATTTTTCAGCTTCATTCTGAATAACTTCATACTCTGTTTTTTAACATTGCCATCTAAAGCATTATAAATAAGTGGTAGTTGGTAGGAGAAAGATGCTTTAAATTTACTGGTGGAGTAGTGTGGGATGTTCACAGTAGCAAGATTCCTTATATTGATAAATCGATAACAGTCAAAGGAGTCGATACATGGACCATATACTATATCGCAATAGTTGAAATTAGATAAAACTAGTTGATCACACAGTTTCTTCTTTAAATCAAAAGACAAAAATTGTCGACTTGAGTACAGCAATTTAAGACACCCGTAAGCACGCTGAATAGATTTGCTGACGTGTTCCGAGAATTTCAAATCAGAGTCAATAATTAAACCTAAGTTTTTGGTTGCTGATACTAGTATTAAAGTGACACCTCCTATGACTATGTTGATATCATTCTTCACACGATTAATTCGACATTCATTGCCAAATAATAAATAAGTGGATTTTGTGGGATTAATATGAAGATTATGTTGCTTAGAGAGGTTGATAATTCTTTGTAAATCTTTGTTGACGAAATAGTTAGCTAAATAGGCATCTTCGGGATGAAAACTATAATATAATTGGCTATCATCAGCATAGAAGTGGCTTCTACAATCTGAAAGGCAATTGGATTATTCAGCAGTATATATAAGGAATGAAAGTGGTCCCAGAATCGATCCCTGAGGTACACCATTATGTAATCTGAGTGATTGAGATTCGCTATTGTTATTTTTGACTATTTGACTTCTTCCACTCAGGTAACTTCGAAAGAAGTTTTGTGCTGTCAAGTTCAACCCATAATATTTCAGCTTAGAAAGTAGAAGTTGGTGGTTTGAAGTATCAAATGCTTTCGTGAAATCTAACATTACCAAGGCTGTAACTTTATGGTTATCCCATTCTCTGATAATATCATCACATATATTTAGCATTGCCGTGGCAGTGCTGTATTCCTCCCTGAACCCTGATTGCTGAAAAGAAATGATAAAATTTGAATTACAGTAATCGTAGAGTTGCTTGTACACGATTTTCTCTAAGACTTAGGATAGAATTGGGAGAATGCTAATAGGACGAAGATCTGAAAACTATTAGGCTCGCCGTTTTTAGGAATAGGACGAATTAGTGCTATCTTCCAAGATGATGGAAAGTAACCTTGCTCTAAGCAGAGTTTAACAATATGTGTGATTGGTAATAAAACTGCTGGCAAACAGTATGATATCATAGTCCGAGATATACTATCGATACCAACAGCATCACTTTTGATATTATGAAAAATTTCTCTCACATCACTAACAGATGCAAATTTTAATTCGAAGTTCAGTGTATCATTAAATTTGACCGAATCATAGTGATTGATAAGTTCAGTGCAGTCTTCATTCAGATTTGCTGCTATTGATGCGAAATAACTATTGATTCCGTCTACATCATCAGCAATGTGTTGCGGAACTTCGGTGGATTTGTTAGGCGTAACTTTCATATCTTTTAGAGTTTTCCACATCTCACGAGAGTTGTTAGATCGATTCATGGCAAAGTTTAAATATGCCTTTTTTTCTCGTCGAATGGCACTCAATGTGAGATTGCGTAACATCTTGTAATTTGTTAAATCTGTACCTAATTTAGAATGTTTGTATTTTCTAAGAGCTTCATCTCTATCTGCCATCATCAATTTAATTACATCAGTCAGCCATGGAGCTTTAGGTTTAGTAACTCTAACAGTTCTCACTGGAGCATGCTTGTCAAATAGTTTTGTTATGTTTTGTTTGATGAAGTTTATTTTGTCATCAATAGAATTGATTTGGTATACTACATTCCAATCAATTGAAAATAAATCAGTTGTGAAATTTTCATTCGAAAAATATTTGAATTCTCTAAACGTAACCAATTTAGGAACTTTTATTGTTGATTCGAAGTTAAACACACCATAAGTCAACCTGTGGTCAGAAATTGTCTCAGTACTCATTGTTCCGGAAGAGATAACAGAGTCATCACAGGTCACAAATATTTGATCAATTAAAGATGATCCAATATTGGTTATCCTAGTAGGTTCATTTATTATTTGTGATAGTCCAAGTGAGTCCATTATTCTACATAATTTATTCACATTAGTATCATCTCCATTCAAAAAATTCAAGTTGAAATCACCCATGCAAATTATTCAATATATATCAACAGTTGGTGAAATTGTAGAGATGCTATTTTCGAGGCAATTGAGAGACTCCGATATATTTGATCTAGGCTGTCTGTAGATTATACCTGCTGCAAATGTTTTTTTGTTGATTTTTACCTTAATCCAAAGCTGTTCAAGATTGATATCATAACTTGAGTGTATGAAAGATGGATAAAGGGAGTTGTGTATATACATCGCCACACCACCTCCTCTTGTAGGTCTAACGCATCTAAACAGTCTGTAATTAGGAATCCTGACTGTGTCTGAGGATATATTACTATTTAACCACGTTTCGGTTAACCCAATGATAGAAAATTTTTTCTGCAAGGCAATATTACAAAACTCCTGAAATCCTGTGAACAAAGAACGTACATTGATAACAAGCTAATTCATTTCGGAACACCTTGTATATTGGGTGAAAACGGGATTCATTATCGAACTTTCCGGCCCCTCAACGACCTTTTCATCGAACCACCCTGACGGATCCGCGAAAAGCTAAATCAAAGTCGCAAATAAATAAATTTCCAGGGGTGTTAATAGACGTTCACTTTGTCTTCCCGAAACTGGAATTAGCGAAGGCGTTTCAGAGATGCTTTTAAGAATTGCCAGGGTTCGGTTTCCCAGGCTGGGAAATTTCTTGGCCTAGCTACCCGGGAATATACGGAGTAATTTGATTTCGTTGGAACACTAGGGGTTAAGTTGCGTTTTCCTTCTGTTATACATTTTCCCCCTACGGTATCTGATGGGAATGTGAAGCTGGTAAATCAAGAAATCAAATCTAGAAATCACCTCCTGATAGTTCGCAAGTTTATGTATAAACGTTTGTTTAAGGAATACATTAGAATATGGCACTTTCAATTCAATCAAAGTTTGCTCCAGTTCGGAATCCAGGTTGGGAATGGGGTGAATATGTGGGTCTTTTCAGTCTGAAAAAGCGATTGAAATAGTCAGGAGAGACGATAACCACGGGCTTGATTGAGAAGTTTTAATTGGGCACCAAATGAGATTTTTGTAAAAAATGGCAATTGTTTTTCTGGTATACCTACGAGTTCGAATTGGGGCATTTGATTTTCGTTCAGATTCTTACATGCTCATGATCATAGATTTGAGTGAGTCATTGATTCTTCTCACTTGAAAAAATTCTGAACTCTTGATCTTGACAAATAATTTCATTTGAATCAATTTTCTCTGTGTTTTTACTACTTCCCGAGAAATTTGCGAGATACTAGGGAAAAGTACCTTCGAATGATTTTCCCCTGCCCCAGTGTTATCACCATTCGTTGGGACTTTGTTGCTGGATATTTAGGGATTTTCTCTTCATCCATATTCGACGGATTGGAATTCTATTATATATGAAAATTCTTAGTCTTCGAGTTTGAATCTCCTGAGATTTTCATACGATCAATCATGGAGAACTCTAGATTTTCACCATCGAAGAGTC